CTTTTGNCCCTCGACTTTTGCGTCGGCGGATTTTATCGGTCGCTTTACAACTTCCCGAGAGGGATAATAAACGGGTTAACGAGCATTCCGGTTAATTGAAACCTCCGCGGAAACAGACGCGGCGCTTCGGCGCATGGCAACAGTGCAACGGCGTTAAAATATCGCAATAAGGCATTAAACAAAGGAATCCGGGAGGAGCTGAACCAAGACGCGCGGTTACTGAAGCGAAACGCCTGGAGCGTTTCTTCGTCTCTCGAAAGGATTCGCCGGAGAACAAGGCTCGGAAGGGAGGAGGAGGAGAAGGATGAGGTGGAGAACGACGAGAAGGTGGGGAAGGAGGAACGGCCGGTAGGGGGGAAGGGGCTATCCATTCACGAGGCATCGCGCGAAAGGTGAAATTTGGGTTACACCAGGTCCTTCGCCTTATTACCGTGCCGTGCTCGATCCGCCGGTGCGGTTCCTTCCGTCTCTCTCGTCGCCGATCGTCGTCAGCGTCCCTCACGGCGACGTCTCGTTAACGTCCGACGATTAATGCAGACCCGGCATTAATATCGGTCATTGTTGCGCTTCTTCCGTTCTGGCCTTCGTTACCCCCGCACGGCCGACGTCACATCGCGGGTTTCTCCTCTCACTTCCGCGCTCTGGACTCGCGAGGATCCGTTAGGACTTCGATTTTTGCGCGCCGTTCACGGAGATGCATCAACGCACGAAGCCGCGTCTCGAGGAGAAACGTCGAGGGGGGTCCGAAATGATCGAGGAAAATTCATCGGGACTCAAGTCGCGCGTAAGGACACGCAACCGAAAGTCGGAGGACGTCGCGAATATCGGCGAGCCGGGAGGACGAGTCGGCCAGGCTCGTTATTGGACGTCGCCGCGGAATCGCGAGGTCGAACGAAATATCCCCGGTGATTATTTCCACACGCACACACCGGGTATACACGACCGGTCTGGCGGCGTCGGACCTCGTCCTCAAAAAGGATCGGTCGAAGGCCAACGGCGGGCGGGGGTACTCGGCTCTCCCTCGGTTCCACGCTGACGCCGTCGAGCGCGATCGAACGGCCAGATCGATTTTTACGCGGTGCTCGATTGTAAAGGCCTCCTCCCCCCCCCCCTCCTTCAGCCCCGGCCGAGNCCCCCCTCCTTCAGCCCCGGCCGAGTTGCGTGCGAGTAAATATCGGCGTGTTCCTCGAGACGAAGGAAGCGAAGCTGGCTCGCCGAAGGCCCCGAGTGAGAACCGCTGGCTGCACCGCCTTGCAACGGTCGACGTTACATCGGCGCAGCCTAACCGCAAACCCGGTGAATCACCCGGAGGATCGTCCGTCTTAATCCCTCGATATCGCGCGCTCTCCTCTTCTCCTCCTTTCGACTTTCGTCGCGTGCACCACCACGCTTTCCAGAGCCGGTCTTTCACGCGTACGCGATATCGCTCTTAGCAACGGGGCTCGCACGTGAATCCGCACTTCTGTTATCGTCGGAAATAACGTCGTCGTCGTCGGCAGATCTTTATGCGTGCGCGCGCTCTGGGTACTTTGCAATTCAGACCTTCCGCGAAAAGCTTCGCTATTTTCTGTAAGCGCCTTTCTCGCTCACGGAGTGATTTAACACTACCGACGATTAACGCGCGCGCCTTTCTAAACCGGAGTTTAAATCTGATTTTTAGATAAATACGCAACGCAAAGGGAAAAACTGTTTATTCGTCTACGCGTTCACACGAGGAAAAATTTACGGTTAATCTCAGAGAATGCACCGTTCCGGAAATTGGAGTTACTTTTGTAAGAAAAATTTACAAACCGGTCGCTCGACCGCTTTGGTAGTTTCAGTGTTGAACTGGTAACTTGAGGACTCGGGACATAAAATCGTTGAACTCCGCAAAGAAATTCCGCGTTATTACCGTGAATTATAAATTTCCTATGACTATATTTTCAAAACTAAACGATCAATAATTCTGAAATTGTTGTATAATGTCTATGTTAATTTATTCTTAATATTACAATAATTTTTCAGTAAGATCCTAAATGTGGTTTAGAAAAAGGTAAAAATAATCATTAAGAATAGGATATTATAGTCCCAACACGTATAAACAGTGTCATCTTTAGCTGCGAACATCTTAGCTTTCGAACGGTCAATCATTTTCTAATTGCGCGAATAATTCGGTCATATTTAAATTTATATATAGTGCAGGTTTCAACGAATTCTTAAAAAAATGTATTTTATGCCACACTACTTCATCGCATTGCCAACCGCGCGAATTGCGCTTTACCACGCTCTGGAAACCACACATTTCGTAAACGGTGCGCAGTAACGTATCTGAATGTTTACAATTCTCGCGCTATAGGAGTCAATAGTAAAATCTAAAAGTAAAAATAATTGTTCATCAAACCACTGCCAAGGCTCCGCTGATATCCAATCAATGAAGAACTTATGAGCCAATATAACAGAGCGTGGACACTCGTAGTGTCAACAATCAACGGTAGTTCCAAACAACAAGACCACATTCTTGATTAAAGTTCATTTGACCGAAGAATATAGTCTTGCTATTTAGAAATGTTTGCACCATCAGTTCGATGCGTTCGCTCGTATTGGCCGGTAAGTACTTCGTTGATATAATAACTTATCTCCGGAATCATTCCAAGTTCAGACGGATCGATCGACGATCGCCGACGAAAGGGGTGGGCCTACCTGATCGCGATTGCAATGTGTTTGAAAGCTCGAGTCGCGCGCGTCGATTCGTCGATGCGAAGGAAAAAGCGCATAAGCGCGCGCGCGCGCGCTGACTGAGAGAAGACGATGGAAAGCGGCGGCGGCGAGGAGGGGACGACGTCTCTTCGTGCTTTTTACGCTTATGACGCCAGCGGCGGCCGTCCAATTTTAGTGTAGCGTGCGAACGCGCGCGTTCTCGTGGGCATTCGTATCTGACTCACGGCGACATTCCTCGCGTCGCTCGCCGCGCGATTTTTCTCGCCCGAGCGCGATGACGAGAGGACGAGCTCATTCGCGGGAGGAAGCGCGGGAGAGCGCGCGGAGGTCGACCGAAGCCACCGCGATCTCGTCGGGTGGCTGATTTATCGTTAGGAAATAGAAACGGGCGTGGTGGAGGGACGCGACGGGAGGCGAGAGACGAAAGACGAGAACTCCTGAAAATCGCTACCCCGCGATGTCGCTCTCCAGCGAGCGCTAAAAATACGAACCGACGGCGCCGCGAGCGGCGCGCACTCCCGCCCGCTTCGTTTGAAGGATTTAAACAGCTGAAAGGCATTTCTCTCGTCCTAGGATGCGACATAGGCCGAGGTCGACGACCCGCCTACCTTTTCCGAGGCGCGATCCGCGCCGAGAAACTCCCGCTCCGGCTATCGTAAAACCACCGCCGTCGCGGCCCTCCTCCGAGAAGCACTGACCCGCGCAAGTCGCAGGGCGCGACTTCCACGAATTGATCGAACGGCCATCGGGCGATTAGCGCGGCCGCGATTTTCCCGCGCTTTCGTCCCCCTACCCGCTTTCGTTTCGACACGCGACGGACGCTGATAACGACGTCGTCGAAGCAAATATATAGGTAATCGAAGAAACGCGCACATGTGCATCTCGCGCACTGTACGTCGACGCGACGGCCTCGTTAATTAAGCCGCTTGTGCAAATTTATCTTGCGGATTCGCGTCCGGACGGCGCACACGCTAGACGAGTTTCCGATAAAATTGAGGAAGAGAGAGAGAGAGAAAGAGAATCGCACTCTGACCGGTACGACCTACCGCACTGTCGCCGCAACGTGGAATGTCGGAAAACGAGCTGGGCCGCCGCCAAGAATTCGGTTACCGATTCTCTCGACGGCGAAACGCCTCGGGACGACCGGCTGTTTCATTATTCCTGTTACGACCAGTGATCTTTCGTCCCGCGGTCGAACGGCTCGGTGATTTTCCCTCGGTTTCTGCCGGGTGCGAAGGTTATCGGGCGCTTTCACGTGATCTCCGAATGAAGAAGATCCGTGTGAAACTCGAAGTAGTCGTACGACGAGTCGGAGTATTCATACAAGCCGGGTATTTTTTGTCAAATTGTAGAGAGTGTCCGTAATGTAAATCGTCTTATCCGTCGTATACTTGCAGTTCAGGTCGACGTGAAGGAAAAGGTCCTTCGCTGTTTTGTCGAAAACCGCGTGAAATGTTGAGTTATTAACTATTGAAAATGGCCACATATATGGAGGTTTCTTTAGTTAATAATTCAAGAATTTGCCTGATCGTTTGTGAAACGGTAAGTGACCTTTTTATTCGCGATGACCTGATCATCTACAAGTATACAAATATACGGCTGTCGTAGCGACAGGTTCAAAGTTCGAGATTCAAGGTTCGATGTAATAATGTCTAGCGCTAAGTGCAACGGCTGTCATGTACTCATAGATCAGACCATTCTAAACGAAAAATTCTCCACTATTTTGCAAATAACCTCACAGATTTTTGAGTTATCAATTAAAAAAGTTTCTTACATGGCTATTTTAAATAATTGGTAACTTAAAGTTTTGCGTGGTTGTTTGCAAAATGTCAGAGGATTTTCTTGTTCATATTGATCTAAACCAAATATATGACGGATGAAACGGCTTACTTAGACACCCTGTATGTATTATTATCAAATATCGAAATATCGACATTGACGGTCTAACAAGAATATGTGTGTAGAAATATTATACAATTATTAAAGGATGGACTAATTATTTTGAGATTTGGAAAAACTTCGAAATTAATACACGTCTAAGAGTGCTAATTTTTAGTATATAAAACTTTGTCTCTGAAACACATTATACTTTTATTCCCAATTGAACCAACATTTTAACGTCGCTATTTTTGCAGGAATTATTCCCATTTGGCTTCATTTTCTGATATCGTTGCTTTCGTAAGAAATCCACATTTCAACAACGATATTTTATTTTAATGTTTCAATTTTATTCGGGCGGAACGCGTGTACACGTGGCACATTTTTCCTTTATGTTCCTGTCACGGAGCACCGTGTAATCACATTCAGTTATGCTCGCAGAAGCAGCCGTCTCTTGAATTCTTCAGGATCCAATCCATGTATCGCGTAACTCTCGTGTATACACCCGGTTTGTTTTTCCGCGCGCACCCGTCTCCCCAGGAAACGATGCCGATAAGCTCGTATTTTTTGTCCTCGCGCTCCGCTATCAAAGGTCCGCCACTGTCTCCCTGTAATGTAACAAAAATTGCATCGCTCGCTGCGCACTCGCCCCGATAATACACGTAACACAATCGTGTTGTGTCAACTTGTAAGGTTAAACGCATCTTTGCCTCATACTGAGAAAAAGATTTCCTCAAATTTCATCAATTTTACCGCATCCAAACAAATTTCGCCATTGACGTGTCCCGAAAGAAACTAATGTTTCGATTAACAAGTACGATTGCTAGACATTTTCCACGAAATATGTATCGTTATCTTGAATAAGAAATTTGTTTGAAACGAAAGATAATTTTCTTGTAAAGAACTTATTTGTTTCATTCTACATATTTATTGTAACCAAATATTGTTTTATTTGGTTAAAAGATATTATTTCAAACAATAGCGTTCTTTCTGTCGAGCAATAGTTTTCTTAAATGAGACTATACAGTTTTTACTCGAACAAATAATATTTCGTATAAGTGTACGTTGTTTCTACGAAACAAATTTTAGTCAAGTAAATCGAAATACTAAATATAAAGAAGCCTTTTTCTCTGCGTATAATATATTATCAATTATATCGCGCGTTGCACGCGTTGATAATATTGCATCGTAATATTTATCCTGTCGTACAGCTTTCATCGGCAACTTTTATCATAATTGCATCTTGCATTTCAATTTGTTCGCTATGTGCGTGTATGGCAAAGATGATAGGCCAGTTACCTGACACGAGTCCTTCTTCCCTTCCCGATAACCCGCGCACAACATGTTGTCCGAAATCATGCGGGGACTGTAGCTGGTATTACGGCAAGCCTGAAGACTCATGACCGGTACTTCCACTTCCTGAAGGAGGCAGGACGGTTTACCGTTTTCTTGCAACGTACCCCAGCCTGACACGATCGCGTTTGTCCCCACGTACTCGTTATCTGAAATGTAATTCGTGCGCTAAGGACACGTTCACAGTGGGGAAAGAAGAGCCGAGATTGCACTTACTCAACATCAATGGCAAGCATATCGGCCGTATCGTGTCGCCCAACGGCACTCTCTCGTTCAGGCGGAGGAGCGCGATGTCATTGTTGAAATTTAGGAAGCTGAAGTCACCGGTCATGATGCGCACCACGTATCTCGTTTCCGGTCCTTTCTCGGTACATCTGTCGTGTTCCCCGAAAGTGACCTTAATCATGAACCACATGAATCTGGAAAAAAGACTAGAAGAACCGATCACACTCGCCTGACAGGCGAAATTGCGATGGGAAATCAATGAAAATGGATAGATGAAGATGGAAGATGGAGAATGGATAGAAAAGGAGAATCGGCCGGCTCCGATCGTTCGACCGTTCTTTCGTCTAATAATTAATTCATCACGCTGAGTCGATAATAATACGGTACGAAGTTTCTTATATCGAAAATATTCGACGTGACAACGAACCTGTGACGAATTCTTCGAGAAATTAATTGTACACTGCTACAATGAAGTCTCACTTAATTTGTATGATTAACTGATACGGGATAACGCGCGCGGTTAAGTAAATTTAAAGCGGCAAATTATTTGCGGATAATTAAAAATTCGAATCGTCAACGGAGCCATTTGGCATTCCTCGGACGTAGAGTTAACAGTGCCGAGCGTTTTCCTTGTAACATAACACTAAGAAGAGAAGGCAAACATGAAGTTCGACTTATTTACGTATCTAGTAGATAATAATACCGGCGAACACGAGTAGTGATTTTACGCTTAAACAGTTATACTAATTCGTCGACCGTGGAAAGTCAGCTTCGGTGTATTTGCACACTTAATACTTAGTACATTTGTGCGGAATTTAATTTCGAAAATGCGTAATTTTCGTAACACTCGCCAAGTATAGAATGGAATCGAAATAAATCAAATCTACCTGTTCGAGTCTCGGGAATGTTTCGGTCCGGAGAAAATTGCTGGACGATTAAACGTCGAAAGGTGCTCTCACGACGAACGTTGCGCAACAATTAGAAGTAAGATCGTTGATACGAGGTAATAATTTCGCTTCCATCTCCAATATGCGAAACACGTCCGAGCTATACTTACCCTTTCACGCAGTGCGCGGCCGTGAGCACGTAGCGATCATTTATAAGCGTGCCTCCGCAGTAAAATTTGTTTAAGTACGATAATCTAGCTATCCATGGAAACTCATTCACGCTCGTCGTCTGCCCCCCGACTATACGACTTTCTCCGTTCCGTACCCCACAACCTAGACAGCATCGATCATTGTATAATTCGTACATTTCTTTATTATTTACATTGTATTATTGTACATTTTTTTTTTCACGACGGTGTTGAGCGTAACTTCTGACGGAGATCGGCATGATACGATCGAATGAAAGTTACTTACTGCAGTAACAGGGCTCATCGGAAGAGGAAGGCGGCTTGTCGGTGGAAGGCGGCTTATTGCCGAAAAGTCCGAACAAATTCTTCGTCTTGTCGCTCAATACGCCGGCCTGAGATCAAAGTGACCACGTAAATTAGCGAATATTGTGTGCTTCGTTCTTCAAATGATAATCGAGAAGAAGATGATTCGACACTTCCGTACACGCGAGATACGATTCCGTTCTCACCTGTCCGTATTTTTCCATCGCCGAGAGCAGAATAAACAGTAAGCCCAGGTAGCGCAGACTCTTCATGTTTTCTCCCGCGACTCGATTGAACGTCTTGGCGCCGATAATTGCACACTTTTAACTCGGATTCGGATTTACCGTGACGATACTTTGAGTGATGGAGTCGCCACGCGGTGGCACCGTCAGGAACATGTCCCTGACTGAGAGCGACTATGGACAGTGTCCTACGGGCGGCTGAGGAGGACTGAGGTCGAAGAGATAATTGCTATTCCGGAAGGGAAGGAGGGCACAGCCGACCGGCTGGTATCTGACCAGTTCATGTTCAGGGTCGAATCACGGTTGACTGTTATTGACCGTCACCAGGGCCACGACGGCGTCGAAAAATTATCATACTAAGAGAGTCCTCTCGAGCTCCCGGGCTCCTTGTTTTGACCAACTCTCTTGCTATTAATAATGGAACTCGAAAAGAACTCGGTGCTTTTTCATTATAGCCGGTAATCTCACTGACATTTTAGTCGCCGCCATCGAGAGAGACGGAGAGAAATTCAGGAATAAAGTAAATTATTCGTATTTGCTTGCGTGTAAAAAAGGACCCCTTTTTTTAGCGAATTATATATTGAGATAAGATCTTTACGCAGGCTAAACGTTTCTCGCAGCGAATAATAAATAGACAGAAGACCGAGTATGAATCAATAATCTGCTATTTCAAACGACGATCTCTTCAAACAAGCCTCTTCAAACATTGATTTCAAGTAACGGAAACTATAATTTCACGAAGTATCAACAGATACCCCCGGCCGCAACGCGCATTGCGAGGTTCAGATAAGAGTGCACAATGCAGGAAGGGAACAGCCTCAGGAAAGATCGTACACGTGGACGGCTGATCTGTACCTTTTTATATGCACATACGCGTCCGATGCGTCATCCGGTACCGTTCGGCCAGAAATTCAGTCGCAAACTATACTGTATTAATTATCGGCCGCGGCAATCAGGTCGCTTCGGGAGAACGTGATACGGTCATGCCGGTGTAACCATTAAATCTTTGTGCATATTCGGTACATAAATTCTCGTCAAGTTAATTAGTAGCCGCCCGCACCCGATCTCGTTATCTCGTGCCAACGGTATATTATTTTCTAGAACGGAGTTTCGGCTGAAGAAACAGGTTTCAGGTTATTTAAAAGAAAAAAAAAGAAAAAGTGAAGAGCATGCACTCTCTCCCGACCGAATAAGATTAAAACATTATAATGAAAAATCGTTGTTCAAACTTATATATCCCCTACAGAAGGAATATGTCGGAAAATTAGACCGAGCGAGAGTAATTCTTGCAGAAATATGCAATGTTAGAACGCACCGATTGAAAGCAGAAGAACAATGTGATTTTTCACGAAGCAAGAGAATTTTCTACCAAATATTCAGCGTCACGGAGAAAACAGATTTGCTAGAACAGTTTTATTAACATAGCGACAGCAAAACAAATTTGTTTGGACGACAGAAAAATTTGTTAAGAATACGAATTATTGTTTACTGGATTTATGGACAGCAAGATCATTCGGTCGTGCCAACTAAATGTTATTGCTGTCGCAACAGCGTTTTGCTTTACGACAGCAGAATTATTTTCTCCCTGTAACACATTTTTTTGGCTATATTGACGAACAATTTGCTGTTCCAGTAAAACCCGTTTTCTCCGTGGATTGTTCACCGCGAGGAAACAGTGCGCCGCGGCGTATTAAACGCCGCGGAATTAACTGTGGGAAAGGACAAACGGAACTCGAGGAAACAGCCGGCAGGCTGAGTGTCGTTGAGCGACGAGAGCGCGATTCTGATAAATGATTTTGTATATCCGAGAGAGTATACCCTCGATCGGGTTTACAGGGGCCCGCATCGGATTGCATCGTCCGATCGCCGCGTGTTCTATTTCTACACCGCACGGAACATCGTCGTGCATCCTTCGCGACCATTTTCAAAGCAAGCTCTATCGAGAAACACTTCCTATCGGCGGCTGCCGCTCACGATCTTGCCCGGATATTTATTCGGAGCGCGGCTCCGCATCCCGCATAATGCGACGTTTATCCCATTTTTCCGCCGTTCTCGCAACGATGCGAGCGCGGCGCGCGAGCTTTCGTGCTTACGGCGATAATAACGCGGGTGATGTCACCCGCGAACGCGTCCACTCGAGGGGGGGGGGGGGGGGTAAAGGGGGGGGGGGGGGTAAAAANAAAAATATAAATTATGCTCGTGTATAGTGCCGTGTATATATGCGCGTGCCTGTGGTGGTATGTAACGTGACATATGCCATCTGGTACACTTCCTCGTTCGTCGGGAAGCATCGCCACGCCCGCGGCGCGTTGAAAACTTGTCGCCGGAGTAATTAGGACTCTCGCCCGCGCGCATCTCTCAAATACGCGTGCGCGATTGCTTCTTTAATTATTGACAATCTTGAATAATTGCTTACAAAGTTATTCGTCGCACTTCGTCGGGAAATCACGGCACGCTCGCTACGATCCGTGTGATGACTTCGAAACGAATTTCAGAATATATATTTGTTCGTCGATAGAGAATTCTCGTTGGTTGGAAGGTCGGATTTTTATATAAAATGGTATGTGTTTATTATTATTATTATAGGATATCTTCCCCCCCCCCCTCACTTTCTCCCTCTCTTTTTCTCTCTTATCACGACTCGAATAATGCTTAATGATGTACGATTAATCTTTCGCGAGATACCCTTATCGGCAACCTCAAAATATTATATTTCGCAATTGTAAAAATAGAACGCTACGCAATCATGTGACACGTTGTCAAACAGATGCGCCTATTTGCGCGATATTCGCTCGGGGAAACCGATTTTTCGATCTCCGTCTCGCGAAGAAAAGAAGAAAGGAGACAGATGAGAGAGAGAGAGAGAGAGAGAGAGAGAAAAGAGTAAAGAAAAAAACACACGGACGGATCGTCGCGTTCGGGCGCGTTTCTCGTAAATGGAGAAAGTCATAAATTGGCGAATTAAGCCGTGGAGTTTCCAGTTTCTCGCCGCGAAAAAACGCTTTCCAGATACATAAATGCGTTCGTTCGCGCGTGCGCGCGCCTCCGATCACGAGCTATTTACGCCCACCTGAGTAATATATAATTGGATAAACTCGGCGGGGCGCGAGGAGTGCTATCCATCGCGAATGAACAACGGGCTCGCAATAACTGCATAACTGCAAATTTAACACGACCAGCCGGGCAATTATACGGCCGAGAAAGTCACTCCGGAGTCGAGCGCATCGGATTCGCGCGCGCGCCTCGTCACGGTTGTACGGCCACATTCGCGATCGTTCCACGCCGCGGCGGTCGCACAAAATGATCCGTATTCATTTTGCGGTTTCGGTACGGATCGTTTCTTAGCCGGGAGAGGGACGGGGGGATAATGGAGAACGTGACACGTCCGGGGCCGCGGTAGATCAAGGTGAAGAAGCCCACGGCGTCGGGAAAATTGAGGCTCTCCCTCCGCGCTACACGCGCCGAGAACATTGCGAGGAAAGCCGCGAGAGATTTTCCGCGTTTCGACCTACCGAGTCGAAATTTTTCATTTCCTTCCAGTTTTCAAGCGATAACGGAAGAAACGGAAATAAGTTATAGCATTTATTGTGCTCCTTCAATGCCACTGAGAGAATTTAGTCCTCTGAAGTCTAAATTTTCGTTCTACATTGAGTCCTCAAATGGGAAGAATATAGTAATAACTTCCTTTTTTTTGTAAGACCAAAATTTCGACTATGGTTCCGTTTAACAAGTCCTACAAATTTCGTTCCCTTAATCACCGCCTTCTGCGCTTCAATTCCGCGTTTCCCCGCGAGCGAATCTTCGAGACGCCGAGTCCGTCGGAAAGCGCGCGTTCCGCCGCTCGAAATAGCCGGGGGGGATTTTTTCCAAAAAAAACTTGGAACACCTTGTAGGTGAGGATGAGAAAGCTGTCGGGAGGACGTTGCCCGTCGAATCCTGCGTCGCTCGACCGATCGCATTAATAACGCTCGATCGTTGAATTTTCGCCGTTCGTTACGTGTCGGAACGGCGCGATTTGGGAAAAGCCGAGCAAATCGAAGCAGCGCACGGCGGGAGAAAGGCGGCTAAACTCGGACAGGCTTATTCACTCGGCCATGAATGCGCGGTGTTCTCGAATTCCTCGCTAATGCGAAAAAAAAAAAGGAGGAGGAATTAGAGCCAGTTTTATAGACTTTTTAGCCGGCGCGAGGCCGCGAATAACGCTTCGCGTTAATAGCCCGCTCTCGGTCAGATCGCTCGAGAGAGCTCGCCGACGAATTTATCCCCGTCGTTTTCGTCCACCCACGGGGTGATGTCGGGGTGATTTTCTCGGCGAACCTCCGGACGCGAGCCGACGGGACGAGGGAACGATCGCGCTTCTGCGCTCGCGAGATTAAATCGGAAAACGCGCTCGCACGCCCGTGTCGGATTCGCGGATAAGCGCAAGCAAACTCTACGAGCGTGGTTTCTCACGAGGCGCGGAGGAGACGAGGAGCGGCTCGGTGTTTTAAAAAGAGCTCCGGAGCCGTTTTATTATTCGGCGACGAGGAAAGGAGCAGCCGTAGACGGTTCTCGTGTCACGGGACCATTACGAGTCTAAATTCGCCCGCCGCCGCCGCTGGTGGTTAGCCGCGAGTAACGAGTTAACTCCGTAATGCGCAATCCAATTTCCACCTTATCTGACGTGATACATAATACAGGACGAATCGCGATTTTCAGCGTAATGAAAGATTAAAACGCCGAGGGAAAGGTGCACGGCGCGCCCGGCGCTGTGTGTAGTTAGCGATCGCTTTGCATGATTCAGAGGAGATTCGCGTAAATTCCGAGCCTCGTAGAAATGTAAACGCGACGGCGCGAGACGAGCGCTCGCCTCGGCGTGCCGAAAATCGCGCGCGCCGGAGGAGGGAATTATTCGCCGCGGCGCGGATGGATTTGACTCTCGCGGAGCGCGTCGCAAGAGGCACACCGAATCCCCGGATAGGGCCTTATAGCAGAACCACTTATTGGTTTTACCCCTTTGGAATGTTCGTCTTGAGCAACGCACAGTCTCGTGTCTGGAGTCTTAAACTAAAAGCCGGTCTGTTTGCGATCGATGACAAGTCTCTGTATAATAAAAAAATAAGATAATTTAAACAGATTCGAGACGTGATATATCGTCTTAAAATGACAAGTCAGCCATTCTGCTAAAGCCCTTAGAATATTTCTAGTAAGAATATGGACGGTGCACGG